CGGGCGCCGTTCGCGCTCAGGGCTGCAAAGGCTAAGCCAGCGCGGTGACGAGCGACGTGGAAGTTTAGCGCCGGGGCTCTGCCGGGCGCGCTCGCCACGCGAGTGCTCCGAGGGAGCCGTTCCCTCCGCATCTTCGCAGAGCTTGGGAAGGGAGCATCGCAGTTGTCTTATGCTGAGTCAGATCCGCGGTGCTTCTAACTCGGGGACCGTGACAGGTAGCGAATTTCCGGCGGCTTCACGGCCTTTCCAGGAGAGGCCAAAACCAAGCCTGGCAGAATTACTTTGATTAGAAGGCAAACCGAAAAGACAGAGTCACGCTCACATGAGCTTGCCTGCTTGCTTCCTTCCTTGTCAGCACACGCACAACGCAGGGAATGAGCAATTTTTTCCAGCTAAATTGGCTAGACAACAGCTCCCATAATCCACCCTGAGAGGCCCAGACAAGTAACGCGGCCGGCTCTCTGGCTTTCAGCTTCTTTGGGGATAACTCTACAGCCTTACCTTATTTAGACCTCCTAGTCGGCTGGGAGTTGTAGTCCAGCACAGCGGGAGATGCCAGTTTGGAAAATACTGCTTTATTCAGGAGGCCCAACTTGTTAAATAGGTTTACTCCCTAGTAAGAGGCGGTCAAACAGTGCAGTGGTTCAGGTGTTGGAGTAAAACGGGAGAAGCAGATTTAAGTTCACCCTCAGCTATGGAAGCTCACTTGGCCTTTTTCACAGGGTGGTGGTTGTGGGAAAGATGGAAGGAGAGAGTGCTTTCGATACCGCTTTGAATGGCTGGAAGAATGGCAGACTATAAATCTAAATAGTAACAGCAACAATAATAGTAGTAATAATAACAGTGAGTTGTGTTGCAGCTTCCAGAAGCTGGTTTTCACCTGGAGAATTTGTGGCCCTTCAGAAGTCACTGAATCAAGGGGTGGTTAGCACCCTGACAATGGTCTCTTGAATTATTTGCCAACCTTCCATCTTTCTTGGAAGCTATTCATTATTAGGACTGTTTTATACTGTATTTTAATGAATTTTATCTCTGCTGTAAACCGCCCAGAGTTGTTTTGACAAGATGGGCAGTGACAAATTAGAGAGAGATTCTAGCTCCCACTGGCCCTGCTGGTGATGGAGGAGGGTTGCTGATAGTGGGACTTCTACAATACAGTATGTGAAGGTCCTTGGTCCTTACTTTATGGTCATGTAACCAGAATAAAGGCATCTAAATTTCAATACATTTGCTCCGGGAGCATCTGCTACATGAGTAACTTGATTTCCTTCTAAATGCCACTTTGCTGCATTATCTTTTTCCTCTCTTGACTTTTTAGCTGATAATGATATTTTGACCATTTTATTGCTGGGTTAGCTTTTTCTCACTGCTGCTGATTGGGTCTTTTAAAAGTGTTGAATATATTGTATATTGATTGTCTTACATTTTGCCACCAGCCACCTTAGATAGAACATACCTCCAGCCAGATTAAAAATAAAAATAAAAATAAAGTCAGTTGCTGATTGAACTGGTTAGGGAATGCCTACGCTCATGAATATGCTGGCCCCAGTTGCACTGGGGTTGCCTAACCTGGAAAAAAGAGTAGAGATCTTGCACGCATTTGTTCACTTTAATTTGTACCACTCCTTTCCATCCCAGAGGTTTCAAATGGGTAAAAAGAGCAGTACATATATGAAATAGATATTGCAGAGGAACAATCCTTTATGTAAGAATTCAGTATAAAATTTGATTCTATTCTTTTTGGCTTGAATCAAGACAGTGGTTTCTTTTCCCATATAAGAATGAACCTAGCATAACTAAACTAAGTTGTAATTTGTCACCATTGAAGGTAAAATGTCCCTTCAGGTGCCCTTGATTCCTGGTGATTAAAGAGATGCATCCTGTAGTTTTCTTGGTAACAATATGGAAGTGGTATGCTATTAAATTTTTCCAGGATGTCTTTTTACTTCCCAGTTTAGGCTAAAGCCCGGGGATTTCTGGTGGTTTCCTGTTGTTAAGTACTATCCAATCCTACTGGTCTTTTGCGCCACTTGCTGTAGACATTAGTCAGCATCACTGCCATGATAATTACCACTGTACTCATTTAAGTTTTGCACTGAAATATTATTAACTGCGTTTCATGCTTTTAATGGGCATTTGATCTTGTGTCTCTAATTGTTTTCTCTATATCCAAGATAGATTAGGCAAATGAAGGCAAAATTTCATGCATCTGAGAGAGAAGGCTGTGAAAACTTATGAAACAAGGAACCTGCCTTTAAGATGGCCTTAGACATTTTGCTGTTTTGATCCAATATTTTAAGATTGACTACTTTTATTATGCATAAATGTCACTTAAATATGGGTTAGATTCTAACAAATGATTTCTGAGAGAGGTATACTGAATGTACAGCATGAAGTGAATCAGTATTTGACATCTGTAAGCTGAAGTTTTAGAGCACTGTGATTAACTTTCCCCATCTTGGCATCCTGCAGATGCCTTGGAACAGCTGTTTCTAAACTTCCCAGCCAGAATGTTGATTGGGAATCATGGAGCTACAGTCCCAATACATCTGGAGAACCAAGCTGATCTATGCACTCCAGAAACCAACAAGTAGTCACTGTATGTCACTTGATCCTTCTACCCTTGCTTACCATATTGACTTTTCTCTATGATCATATCTGAGAGATGCTGCTTGATCTTTAGTGGTCAATTTGCACAGGTCACCCCTTGCTGCTCTAGTACTGAACACCCCCAGCCTTCAAGTACTCAAGTTTTCAAGTATTGAACATGCAAACGTTTTGAGCGTGGTCTAATTTTCGTCAAAACGTGCCTGAAAGCATCCACCTGCAAACATGTAACACTTAATAGGTTTGGAAGATATGATCATACATACTTGCATTACAACCCAACTGATGACTGGAGAACCAGATAAGCAGGCTTTCCAGACTCAGATTAAGGCTCCTGCTTTGAGATCTCAGGAGCTAAAAACATGCAAAGATCTGTACAGAAACTCTGTGCATGGGAAAATTGGGGTGGAGCACGTTTACACACCCACATCCCCCAACCCTGTTGTGCCTGTTACACCTGCGCAGCATTTGAGTCATACTGGTTAATCTCTTTCTGGCTATGTTCTTCTCCAGTCCTGATATTCAGAGATCCAGTTGCAACCCTGTGCATTTTTTTTAAATGGAAAGTCAGGAGTAAAAATGAAACGCAAGTGAGTGGAAATTAGCCTGTCATTCTGAGCATGAATAATCAACTTGCAAGAAAGCTTATCCTCAGCACTTGTTCCAATGGCATGCCATGTGCAAATTAAAGCACAGGTGCTTCTGAGCAGGTTTTCCATGCAGGAGGGGCAGTTTCTGGCATCTCCAGCTAGAAGAATCAGATTGCTGGAGGGGAGAATTTTCTGCTTGAGACCTGGCAAGCTTTTATTGATCACCCTAGACAATCCAAACGAAAAGGATAGACAATCTGAGTTAAGGCAGTCCCTCTGTATCTGAGAACAGATGGATTCTCTACAGTGGTATCACCACACCTATTCATCCAAAACAGGGTATCAGCCACATAACAGTATTCTTAGTACTGATCACACATGTCTTTCACAACATGTCCCTGTACCTGGAAGCCTATGCTGACCGGTGTGTGGATGCCCTAACAACATTGCTCAGATGCATGTTTTTTTCTGCCTGGCACTCTTAACCAAGGGAAGAAAATCATCCCATTTAAGCCATACATGAAGGCAAGTCTTGTCATTTTACTGTGGGAGTTTGATCTGTGATAGCTCGTTAATATGTATACATGATCATTAAAGCTACTGTTATTGTGTCTATTATAGGGGAGAGGCTGACAGTGATTGAAGGGTTTCTGATTGGTTTTTTCATTCATATTTCAAAGCTATGTAAGAGACTTTATTTTATGTGTATTTAAATGCCTGGGGTCTTTGGAATCTGATAAGTGAAACTACTTAGAAATAGGGTGTGGTACTGGAACAGGGCTTAAGCGGCAGCTATTTGAAGAAAACACAGGGAGGAAATATTACTTGGTCAATTAGCATGTGTTCATTATTGAAACCAGGGTTTCTCAACCTTGGGACCTTTAAGATGTGTGGACTTCAACACCCACAATTCCCCAGCCAGCATGTGTTGAAGTCCACACTTTGTAAAGGTCCCAAGTTTGAGAAACCCTGGTTTAAATAAATCCAATTCTTAAAAGAAGCAGAGT